GGCAACATGTAATATCAACAATATATATTTTAAGCCATGAGCTTCTCAAGTAATTATATTAATTATTAAATTTTTCATTAATTGGATCAATCGTCTCAGACTAAGTCCCCACAGCCTTTAGCACAGTTACAGTTGTCATGTTGGCAGTCTTTACGGGGCTTACGGTCGTGGCTAACTTAGTTCCATTCTGTGGTCCACCCGCTTCACAGCGCCGCATGACCTTCAGCATGGCAGGATGGGCCAGGCGCCTAGCGCTGATGCCCCATGTCATGTCAATGTGGTTCCATTTCTTGTATGGATACAGGTGATCCTCTACAACATTGGGCAGTCGCTTGATCAGCCGTTTAACATCCTTCAGAGCATTCAGATAATCATTCTGGGTGTAAAAGATGGCGACAGGAGCAGTTACTTTTTCCAAAGGATAATCCGGGGGTCTGCTTCGTCCATAAATGCGATGATTCTCCTTCCCATGATCGTATGCACAGAAGCGAGCGGATTTATACAGTTGCATATAATGGATGAGCTGGTTGGAACTACCGCCACAAGGCAAATGATTCAACATAGCTGGTATCATAGTCTAAAGAGCAGAGAGACAGTTAGATCGGTTTGAATACTTTTTGCTTTGCAAAGCAAACCTTATTAAACTCAGCAGGATCCCTGCCTATCGCCTTCCACACGTAATACAGACAGGTCTGTATAGTAGTTTCCGACATCATGCAGCCAGTCAATTTACTCGAGTGTGGCAATAGCTCCTTTCCCTCTCCAAAGATATTGATGAAGCGATGTACGAGCCCTGTGAACTCACTCCGCATATTGCCGCAATAAACCACCGGACCCAGGGCGCTCATCAAATTGATCTTCGCATTGTACTCCGGCCGAGTGGAGGCCATCACGAAGAAGCTTGTGCTGCCCTGTGAGTGGCCAAAGTAGCTCAGCTTCTGGTAGCCCGTCTTGGCCAGCACCGCATCGATTAGGGCGGGCAGATCGTAGTATCCGATCTCGTGCCACGAGAAGTTCCAGTAGGCCTTGTCCGTGTCGGGATTGAGTTTAACATGGCTTCGCGAGTAACAATTGCCCCGAGCATTCGCCAGCCACACATCGTAGCCAGCGTCGTAGAGGAAATACCCCAGACCACTATGGGGGCCCATCAGGATCCACGTTGCTGAGCTGTCCAGCAGTCCGTGCATCAGCAGCACAGGCTTCGCACCTGGTCGGGCAATGCGATGCATCTGCAGCACGTACTTGTCCTCGGTGGTCACGGTGTGGGTTTCGCCCGGATATTTGTACTTGGCCAACAGCTGAACCTGCGAGTATTAACACATTATTAAATCGACCGCTGCTCGAGCTGATCTCTCCCAACCGTTGTCAATTTGGCTTCCTCCAACACGCTGGCTGGGAAGTTGTCCTCCAAGAACCCCGTCTCGCCTGCCGTCCACAGTTGGGTCAACCAAATCAAGCTACGTATACAGGTCCATCGACCGCTCCCGAGCTGCATGATGTTCAAGACCAATGAAACTGAACTCCATTCTGTCAATTTGTGGGCTAATTTTACTGGGTGTCACTCCCATAGAACGACGATTAGTTGCGCTAGCTCCCGGCTTACAGCCCAACTGGTAATTATCGCACAGTTTTCGCTAAAATAGTTGATATATTTGTGTCTCAATCGATTTGTAATGTATGGAGAATGAATGCTGTTACCATGCTCTCAGCAGCGCTTAAAATGAGTGTTAATGGGATTAACGGTTCATTAGTAAGTTCTGTAGTAAGCATTTGGGAAAGTTCGGCTAATAATAGATCTCAGAGTACTTCACGCATCAGTAAAATATATTCAATAGTGAAGAATCGCATGACATAGTTAAATATATTATATATATCATTATAGATTCTCAGATTCATTACAAATTAATGGAGAAATCCAGGTGTAGAAAAACTTGTTGATATTAGAGAATGACAACAGAAGAGGAAGTTTTTGAATAGGAAATCTTTTTACGCAGATAATATTGGTTAGTCAAGTAGCGATTTCTTCCAGGACTCTGCGACTATACACAAATTTATTTCTTATTCTTGTTAGTAAGGAGTGGGCTCTGTTTCTCTTATAGACCTCTTAGTCTCCACCTCCTGTTCCATACTTTCCGTCTTCCGTTCGACACTTTGGGTCGTAGTCAAATCTGTTCCATTCTGTGCTCCACCCGTCTCATAGAGCCGTAAGATCTCCAGCATGCGAGGCTGGGCCAAACGCCTAGCGCTGATGCCCCAGACCATATCAATGTGATTCCAGTTCATGTACTCATACATGTGATCCTCCACGATATTGGGCAGCCGCTTGATCAGACGCTCGACGTCCTTCACAGCAGTCAAATAGTCATTCTGTGTATAGTAGAGAGCGGCAGGAGCTGTTACTCTTTCCAAAGGATAATCCGGGGGCTGTGATTGACCATAAATGCGCTGGTTCTCCTTCTCACCATGATCGTATGCACAGAAACGATCGGACTTATGCAGCTGTAGGTAATGGAGGAACTGACTGGAGCTAGCGCCGGCCGGTACGTGGTGCATAATAACTGGTATCATAGTCTGTAGAAGAGAATCTATTAGAGAGTATTTTCAGATACTGCGGATTATTGCAGAACTAGCCTCGTTAAACTCCGCAGGATTCTTTCCCAGCAGCTTCCACATGTAGTACTGGCAGGTCTGCAATGTACGCTCCGACAGCAGACAGCTATTGAGCGAGTGTGGCAGTAGCTCCTGTCCTTCTCCCACGGCTTTCAGCAATCTGTGACCTAGGCCAACCAATGGACTCTCCACATTTCCCATATAAGCCACTGGCGCCAATGCGCTCATCACGTGGATCTTTGCATTGTACTCTGGCCGAGTGGAGGCCATCACGAAGAAGGAAGTGGTGCCCTGTGAGTGGCCAAAGTAGCTCAGCTTCTGGTAGCCCGTCTTGGCCAGCACCGCGTCGATTAGGGCGGGCAGATCGTAGTATCCGATCTCATGCCACGAGAAGCTCCAGTAGGCCTTGTCCGTGTTCGGATTCAGCTCAACATGAGCACGCGAGTAGCGATTGCCCCGAGCATTCCCCAGCCAGACATCGTAGCCAGCGTCGTAGAGGAAATAACCCAGCCCGCTGTGTGGACCCATCATAATCCACGTTGCTGAGCTGTCCAGCAGTCCGTGCATCAGCAGCACGGGGCTAGCACCTGGTCTGGCGATGCGATGCATCTGCAGCACGTACTTGTCCTCGGTGGTCACGGCGTGCAGCTCTCCCGGATAGCTATGCCTGGCCAATAGCTGGAGCTGTAAGGCAAAGATGTGAGTCTACTCTGCTCTGGCAGTTGTCCGCATACCGTTGACAGTTCCGCTTCCTCCAATACGCTGGCTGGGAAGTGGTCCTCCAGGAAGCCAGCCCCGCCGCTGTCCACAGCCGACTCAGGCAGAGCAGCCCCAGCAGGCAGCGCAAGTGGCAGTTCGCGGTCGTCATTGCAACTGAACCGTAGAGGGCCTCCGATGTGTTGTGGGTATCGCTGGCAGAGAGCGGCAATTAGTTGCGCCAGCCCAGATAGCTCTTATCGGATTGTAATTGTTTCAAGTGCTGCTAATATTTCTGACAGAGTCGAGCACATAGAAATGCTGTGCTGTGTACTCTATACTCGCAGCAGGGAGTATCAATGTATCAATGTGGCAATGCGGTAATCTCAACAGCTCTCATAGCGAGTGCTTCATATGCGATGCTGAAGTCAAAGGGCCTGTGGCGTAATGCAATTGTGCGCGACAGGTGCAAAGTTCGCCGTGTGCGTGGTGTTGGCTTTTAATGAGCCAATCGATCAATTCGGCTGCCGTTGAAGAGGCGCTGCTATTGCTTTATGGCCACCGACAGACAATTTGTCAATCAGTCAATCAGTCAGTCAGTCAAACAGAACGGCAGCAATCTGGCTGCCTATTGAAATGGAAATGGATGTGGATTTGTCTGTGGAAATGAAAATGGAATTGGAAATCAAAATGGAAATGCTAGCTGAGATTTGGCTAATCAAATTTCATAGCGGCTTTTTAAACTGTTTGCCGGCTTGATTGAAAAATTAAATTTTTAATTTCATTGCGGCCTGGGCAAAGCCTGCCTAGTCACAGGCTCAGCTGTGGCAACTAGAGTTGCTCGCACTTTGCCTACCCTAGATGAGTGAGAGTGAGAGAGTGAATTGAGAGTGCATGTTTAACCAGTTCTAGTCTGGCTTTTTCATATGAAAGTAAGCCTTTTATAAAGGGTATTATTAGTGTATAGCCTCCTTCGCTCTCCCTCTCTACCGTTCCCACTCTCTTTTTGCTGCTGTCCATTCAGCAAATATTTGCAACGCTTGCGTTTGGCTGGCTCTTGTCAGTGCCTATGTCATCGCTTTCCCTTGATTTTTTTACAATTGATTGGCAAAAATTGAATTCGGCTTTTGCATAAAATATTTGGATGCCTTTTATTTGCGCCAACTGCTGTCACACGGACCAATATTGACTACCAGCTCCGTCCAGCCCGTAGGCGTGCATCGTGCCGGAGACGGCGACTGAGTTGGCCAAAGCGCTTCGACATTTGACAAATAACTTAATTCGAAGCTGTCACCACATGTTGGCTGGCTGGCTGACTGTTCAAGGCAGCCTGGACCACGCTTGACAGCCCAGCCCAGGCTGACAAGAGCTGCATGGATGGAGTAAGCGTGCCTGCAAATCAGTGGGGATTTGTTAAGGTTCAGGCTTCGATTCACACGCACCAAATTTAAATCGATATATGATAATTTGTTTAGCTTAAAGAGACACCAGCAAAAGGCAACGATTCTCTTGCGAAATAGTTTCGAATGCAATTGAAACTTCTTGAGTGGCCCAATTGAGATCGATTTGGGAGATCAACTATTGTGTTGTAAATATATATTTAGCCCAGCTTCGATTGAGCAACTGCAATTGCCATTTGCTGCACTTTTGACCCACTTTGTGGCAAGCAAACAAATTGCCAGCTGGCCGAAAATAAGGTAATTCCCTTTGCCCCCAGGCTGGCAATCAGCGTCTGCCTGTGGCGCGTGCCCCAACAATTAGCTAGTCGCTATTTAGAGAGCGACTGCCAATCAGGCGACAATCAGCGCTCAGCCTTACACGACTTGCCGCACAATGTGGCCCCAGCAAACTGGGCCCCAAAAACAAAAGCAAAACAAAACCTGAACGCTGGCCCCAGATCTTCAGCTGAGAGCGGGCGGCTATTGCAGCGAGTGGGAATCGATTGGGCAGCCCTTTCGGCTGCCATTGTTCGATGCTCTTTAAATGTCTCGGCGCAGACCCAGTTCCCTCGATTTGGTGCAGGGTTCAGCGCGAGCTCGTTAAGCGAGCGCTCTGCGAGCATCTGCAGCTGCCAGATTATTATCAGCATTGTTTAGTCGCAGCGTTTAGGCAGCCACTTGGCCATTAGTTGCAGCAGCTGTCCCGCGTCTGTCTACCGCCCTTCCTCTGCCCCTTCTCACGCCTGCTGCCTCCTGCCGCCATTAGCCACGCACGTGACTTTTAATCACGCGCGCATAAAATTTCATGCGAAATCACAGACAGGCCGCAAAAGCAAAAGCAAAAGCTAAGCCCAAAAAAACAAAAACTGAAGGAAACACCGCCTGGGCAATTTATTGAGGCGCTGGCTTGGTTTATAGCTTAGCCAACTTTAGCTTTGTCTAGCTCATTATAGATACAAGACGCGCGAGTGCCCTCATAAAAGCGGGTAGCATGATTTTCAAATACTGTTTGCCATGCACTGAAAGACATGAGTATATACAAATAAAAAATAGTAAATTTATAAATATATGTGTTAAATAATACAAATATATTTGTGAATATATACATATATATTACATTTTTACTTGTATCGAAAATAAATTAATAATTTGTATTAACGAGGTATATTATATCAAAGTTTATAATTTGTTTATTTTTGATTTAGGTATCCGATTTAATCTAATTTTTTATACGAGATCAGATCAAAGTTTTAGATATATGAGTTTGGTTGTTTAACATTGTAGTATATTAACATAGAAATAAATGATTGTTCATATTAAATTTGATTTTTATTTAATATGGAGAGTTGCCTTGGATGGCGATACAGCTATTATATTATCATTAAAGCTATTACTATTATTTAACATCGTTTTTTTTTTTTAAACCTGTTACACGGTTTGATTTGCCTTTAGCCACAGATCCGGCGCATATTTCATCATTGGCGCTAAATTCCTTCTCTAGTATAGATAAACGTAGCTGGAGACCAAGTCTGAACAATACGTTTGATGCGAAGGTAGTTCGAAGTGTCATTCGTTGCTTTGCCTAAGAGAAAAAATCCTATCATATATACATATATATATTCGAATATATATTCTGGTGCGAGGTCTCTCTTTTCCTCTCTTCCTCTAATCAGTTATGTAGTAAACTAAATTTAAAGTATATAAAATACTTTCCTTTATTATCATTTACATCAGCTGCAGTCAGTGCATC